TTTTATTTGAATATTGGTTATGCTTATATTCTTGTAGCTTGATCATGTATGTATTATCTCTATATACCGTATTTGACGTAATAAGCGCCCCGCTCTAATAAGCGCCCACGGCGATATTTGCTAATATACTGGCTAGTGAACAATCCCAATTAGCACCCCTTCTGATTGATAAATGTACACAAGGCTATCTATTCAAGCATAATACGTTTGTTATATGCACCCTTAATTATGGGCAATTAAATTCTGGAAAAATGTATCTGTCGTTTATAAACATTTCAGCATAAACCACAAAATTTACGCTCTTTGAACTCACAAATATATATTCTAATAAGAGCCCCCTATTTCTAATTTTGAGAGCGCCCTAGGCGCTTATTATGTCAAATACGGTATATGTAATGATAGAATTATTGACATGTTTATGACGTAGAGGTGCTCCGCCTGGCCAACATAGGCGCAATACATAGAAGTGTACTCAAACCTACGAGACAGCTTTATAACCACTGTGACCTACATGTCAAAGCCAGCACTCTCTGCGGTCAATAATTATTCCAATCATAAGCAACAAATCTTTATGGAAAAAAGGCCCATGACCTTATGATTTATGGATCAAGTGAGGTCTGCTTTTTTTATCAGAATAAATGTGGCGTGCTTAGGGTGGGTTTTATTATTTATGTTTTATCATTTAAGGAAAAACTTTACGTTTATTAATTATATGATAAACACATTTGGCCTCATTTAAGATTATTTTGTTATAGATATTTAGTATAAGTTGGATAAGATTGACCATATTGGATTTGTTCTATAGCAAAATGGTATATATCTAGTACAGTGGTCCCTCGCTACAACGCTACCAATGGGGTCCAAATAATTGGTGGGCGTTATAGACGATGAGCCGTTTAACCGAGGCCGAGGCGGGGGAGCGCGCTCGGCAAATCTCAAATCATCAATGTGTTTATCTCACGTCACGTCAAAATAGTATATATTTTTTATTGACCTAGATCTACCTGTAATATCATTCATTTATTAAATCTGTCACATTTCACAATGTCTGAAATATGTATTCCATTTCAATTGATCATTTTTTATCGATAAATTAAAAAATTATTCACTATTTCCCGCGATGTTATTGAAAATAAAATTCTCGGACACACATTTCGACAACGGGTCCGCATCGAACATGTCAAAGAGCAAAATAAAGACGTTTTAAGCAAATCTTTGTATGTACACATGAATATGATGGGAGACTAACAATACATGACATTCATCCTCTATATCTGTGCCACAAGTCTACGAGATCTAATGTAGGTCACGCCCATCTTCCCTTCTCTATCATGAGATCGTGGGAGCTCAATCTACAACAGGTCAATGAGATTCCATATTTTTTAATATCAACAAAATTTGATATTTTTTAAATGTTATATTTTCCTATAAAATGTACATAAGTCCATACACCAGTTTTCCATGATAATATCTAAAATTTGCTGCTTAAACATCATTCAAAACAAAATTCTCCACATGTTGAGACAGCCAGACCAAATCCAAATCAACAAAACACATTTGGTAACCAAGTGCCCCAAGTTTCTACCCCCGGGTCACTGAGTGAGTGAGTGAGTTGGGTTTAACGCCGCTTTTAACATTATTCCAGTCATATCACGGCGTGTCAGCTTAATGTGGGAGGAAAGCCCGAAGTGATGCAGGTCTCAGACGTTTACCACTTCGGTGAAACCCACGAGCACGGGTATGGTGCTGACAAACCTAGAAACATAATCGGGGTGAACGGGGATTCGAACCCACAATCATAGGTTTCTGGCGTGCCCAAGGGACGCAACTCTGCACAGCGAATCGCGGCGCCTTAGACGACTGGGCCACCCGTGCCCCCCCCGGGTCACTGAAGGACATTTGTAATAAAGGCTGTAATTACTGTAATTTGTAATCAAGTAAATCATGGGGCAAAATACCTGGGGTTTTGTACTCAGGTGTGGAATTACCTGGGTCTTCATCAACCATGTTGATTTTGAGAGATTAATGAGGATTGGGTGTCTGTTATACGTGACCTGGCTTATTGCATGTTCTCAAACCCGGACAGCATGAATCATTGTTCATGCAGTCAATCACCTCATTCCTTAGTCCAGAATCGACTTTTCACAGACCACGATTGTGGCGTAAAACAATATTAGCTTCTACACTTGATCACTCCTACACACAGGCTGTTTTTGACTTATTTGCCTGCCTCAGATGTGATAACAGGCTGCTGATAGTTATATAGATTATCACATAGATTATAACAATTTGCTGACTTCAGCGCAAAACAACATTCATTCACTCCCTCACTCACACGTTCTATAGTTAATGTTTCCCCTGAATAGGTCATATTCGGGGCACCAGTGAAAAACCGGGGTAGAATAGGTCTTGGGCAAACCCATGCTTGCCGTAAAAGGCGACTATGCTTGTTGTAAGAGGTGACTAACGGGATTGGGTGGTCTGACTCACTGACTTGGTTGATGAATGACTTTGTATCCCAATTGCGTGGATCGATGCTCATGATGTCAATGACTGGATTGTCTGGTCAAGACTTGATTATTTACAGACTGACGTCATATAGCTGGAATATTGCTGAGTGCGGTGTAAAACAACAAACATAGAAACATCATATTCTGGATCACAACAGGCCAGGACCTTTGAGGTACAAAGGTGTCATTGCATCAGGTGATAAGGCTTGGTGACTTGGTTCATTTCTAGTCATCATCATACTACTCAAGAAAGTTAAGGGTCACCTGATTATTTCGTATTACTATGGATCAGTTCCTTGTTGTAATATGAGTGAGTGAGTGAGTTGGGGTCTAAGCTGCTTTTAACAATATTCCAACATTATCAAGGGGGGGAACGAGGGGGGGAAATCAAACACGGGTCCTTAACTTATTTTGGGTAGTATACTTGGATCGTGTGGGAAGTTGTTCAGTATATCAATTGTCTGGTCCAGATTCATTTATTTTCAGGCTGTCGTCATTGCTGGACATGGCTGGGTGCGGTGTTAAACCAACAAACAATTTATATGCTGTTTATCACAACATTAATATCTTTTGAGTTATACACAATAAATATGGAGTTCAATATACTGGACAAAAAAGTTAGAACCTTGGGGATCATAAATATTTTTGGTTTTATTTTTATGAAATTGTATTTCTGTCTTAACTACAAAAAAGTAACCCCAAAAATATTCATGATCCCCAAGGTTTTGCTTCAATGGCAACTACAACAGATCAAGGGTCAGGATCGGTTTGTTTGTTTGTTTGTTTGTCACTACACTCAGCAATATTCCAGATAAATAACGACAGCCTAAAAATAATTGAGTCTCACCAGAAAATCCAGTGAGTGATATTGTGATGGCATGGATTGTGATCACTGGTTTGTCTGGTCCAGAGCCCTGTTCCACAAAGCAATCTCAGTGCTAATACGTTAGTAACTCCCACGTTAAAAATGATTTACACCAATCATAACACTAAGGCATATATGTGGGACACTGGCAGCGGTGTTAGTATTCCAAGATTTCATTTGAAAGCAACATTTACCCACATTTGTTTTACAATATATATGCAATATCCCTCAAAAACATGTTAGATATCAATGTCCATGTTACATTAAGCACTACCAAGACATTATGATAAGAAATATAATAGCCCTGCCATCATAAATCCCAAATGTCACCCACTACCAACTTCTACATCGTCTGAATGTGCATATCATGAGACAAAATTGTCAAATGATCCTACAAAAAGATGTATTGCTACAGAATGTGGCTGATTGTGTTTATCCCCTGTGTATATCAACAAGCACCTGCTTATTGGTGAACTGTGTCAGCATGATCTCCATCACATACAACAATGACATCATCAAAATAACATTTTCTAAAACAATGTTGCATATATAAACATCACATCTTTCACATACAAACATTCACAAAAAGTAAAATTTGGCCATGGTTATTATTTGGATGATAAAATAAACCACTAAGGATAAACAAACAGAATTAATGATCCAAATTCCACTGTCTCTCCAAAGCTTATCACTGAAGAGCAGTTTCATAACACCAACATCTCGCTTCCACAAGGCAAAGGTCATCGCCTGCCGGAGTGACATTCCTTGTAGATCTCCCTGCCTCTGTACCATAATTAATTAACCACCATCTAGGGAATAAATAGTTATGGCTTTATATTCCGTTACCAAAACATGAAAACATCAAAATGTTTTGAAGCCTATTTTCAAAGCATTTAACATTGGAAAGGTCATGAGTTTGGCAAAGGAATTTGTATCCAGTCGTAAGATAACAAGCTTTATATAAAGACTGGCTCAATCTACACTTAATCATAAGAGTTTGAATTAGGTCATTTAACATTCAGAATGTGGATGTTTGCAAATCAGGGATCACATCCTAGACAAGGAAGCAGTATTTTGGGTCTTGGAGCATGTTACTATAAATAGCTTAAATTCCTGTCTGTCTTTGGGTGCTATATGGACCCAAGTGTTTACCAACAAAATATGTGGTATTAATAAAATGACTGGTAGATAACCGTATATATTGATTAAATGTGTTGTTTATTAATATATCACCTGCATAATGATTGAAAACATGGCTCCATAATTATCATGCATATTTGATAACATTACTACAAGATGATCAGCCGGTGTGTGCATGCTGCTAATTTATGTCTAATCACTGTGTTACATTGCTAATCCATCCATCTGCATGATGCTAATCACACCAACACAGGGTTAATTGGGTGTCAGGTTTCCAAAATGACTGCCCCAGAAAATAAAATGTATCACTGCACCTTGAATTCCATGATGTGTCAAACCTTCGATTCATGACATTTACATGACAATTAAACACAGATGTTGTGATGGAGACTGCTTGCTTGCTGTATATCTCATCACAATGACAGACGGGGAGATATAGGTGTTAGAGCCTGTGAAGGATGTATGTAGGTTATACAAGTACTCACCATCTCCCAAGTCAACCTTCACACTGGTTCCACGGAACACAAAATACAGAACCAGGCGTTTTTTGAAGGGAAAATGACTGACAAATTTGACGACTTGTTTGTATAATTCCGATATCGTATCCCAAGTCGGAGGGACGAGAGCGTAGGTCCCTTTATCCGTCCTCTGACCGTGATCCCAACCACAGATCTCCATATTGGAACGAGCCTTTTACCAAACTGCTATTGATCAGCGAGGGACCGGCTTCCCAGCCAGGGAAAGTCCATTGTTGCCGGTGGGGGAGCTAGGAGGCTGGCCCTGCCAATAAAAGAAAACTACCATCACCAAAACAAACAAAAGAAGCTGAGATGAAAGTGGCTGACTTAAAAGGGTCTGTTGCTGTATCAACAGGGCTGTTAATCACTGCCTGAGTCATAAAACTATAATTTCTCATTGTTCAATGAACCATGTTCAACATGAAGGCTGTTCGTGAATACATTCAGTGTTGTTGTAATTTACATAACAAATAATCAGAAATATTATATGGATACATAAATTTCAATGAATATTTTTAATGATTTTACATCATTTAATACATACTGAGTATTTTGTATTTACTTACATAAAGATGTCAGTGATAGGCTGATATTCAATATTCAATTACCATATTTGACATAAGCGCTCTTTACAAATTAGGTGCCCCCTGACGAACTCCTAGAGCAATCTGTATGTAATCTTTACATACAAGGACTGAGAATTTGCATGCCACTCAATATATTATGATCTATATTACTGATCTTGTTTCCAGAAAACAGAAGCGTAGAAGATCTATCATATTTGCCAAATAACTTTAATAACAAACTTCTCGTTCCTTTGACATTTGAAATATTTGTTTCTAAGTGGCGAATACGGTACTACCATGATGAATATGCAGGCTGTTTCCCAAATGTTGCTTAATTAACCAATAATCAGAAATAATGAATGCATACAGTCAATAAATATATTTAATAATTTTACATCATGACATACATTGAGTATTTTGTATTCACATTCATAAACAATTTTTTCCAAAGGTGTGTAATAGACACTAAGCTGTAAAACATTGTCATAAAACAGTTCTTATCACATGACAAGGTCAGAATGACAGCCATCTGTTTCAACAGACTTTATGAAATCATAATCTGCCAGTCTGCACGTACAGAGAGAGACGAGTGCATTGACTTCGTCCTGCTAATTTGGGATTGCTGTTGAATGAAAAACCACCACCTTCCAGTAGGGATTTTCTCAAAAGTAATGTGTCCCTTTTTTCAATGATTAGTTTTTTAAGACTATAATTAACACTGAATTAATATACCACTCAAAAGTTAAAGAACACCACAATCTGAAGCCCATTTTGAAATATCCACCAGCCAGATTAACTATAAATATGAAAGAAACAGGTGTTCTTTAACTTCTTTTGATCAATTACAATAAAACTTCAAAAACAAAATTCTACTCTTTTAAAAAAAATATTAGTTTAAAGTCAAAGTGAAATGGGACTAAACGCTTATGAGACAATCCCTAAACCAACCCCATGTGCAGCCATTGTTGTGTGAGACAGTGATGCAAGAATCGTATTCACCGCAATAACAGGAACGTGTGTAGGTGCATGACATCGTGTCATTTCAAACTGTTGCATCTTCTAAATTCACTTTTAACACATTTTACAGCAAGCCAAATATTTTCACAAGATAAACCTACATTCACATCCAGGTTTCAGATTTAACAAAAAAGCAATAACCACATAAGTATACATAATATACTCAACAACAAAAGTAACACGAATATCATACATGTTGGTTAAAATATGAAGAATTATTCATATTCAAGATATAAGATTGATTTGATGCACAAACGAACATACTGGTATGTTGTGTAAACCGACGCTCATGAGCGCATCACATGTGACGTCATAGATACATGACTCGAGATGCGCCATTTGTCTCGTGCAGGAATAGCGTGTAAAGTATGGAAATCACGTGCAGCATATCGTGATAAGAATAAAGACAATGTGGCAACACTTGACTGATTGTTAGTTTTGTTATTAAGTGGTACACATTGGAAACATCTCTTCTTAGCGTACATAATTCTCTATAATTATGTTTCTGTGGTTTGCGTTTCTTTTGGCAGTGAGTATATTAATGTCATATTCAACGTGGCAGCAAACATTTCAAGAATACAGAAATAAGACCCTTCAACTAGGGATGCAGTGACAATATAGTGATATGTTGATATTCCAACTGAAAAACAAATCATAACGAATCCCTACAACTGTTAATCACTCCAACTCAAGTCGTCTGTCAACTGAAGTTGTGTTACTTGGTAACTTAGGAACAGGCAGGAATGTAAATCATAAAACTATCACATAAAAGATTGATATGTCCTCCAAGGCCAGATATTATTCTTTTACTGGTTCACATACTGATTGTGAATAATCAAGGTTGTTTGGTATCAAAAACCAGTTTCTTTTTGGTCTGCAATATTTATCTGAATAAGTCGTAATGTGTACATGTCAATCAAACATAAACATAACAATCCATGACCTTGACATGTTCAAGGACATTTCAAGTCCACGATGTATGTCTTTATTATTAATGAAAGAACATCCAGTTTTTGAGTGTTTTCTAAACCTGACAACAACAACTTTAGTGAGTGAAGTAAACAACGGCTCCCTGTGTAAAGGGCTGAATCATGAACAGGTAAACACCAGAATATGACCAGGTAGGAAAGACCTGTGTTATTATTTACTGTGTACACACAGAGACATCAGCCTGACATATTAAAAAGGACATCAACAAATGTTTCAGTAATAAATGTAATGAAAAGATAGAGGTGATAATATCAAAATATACAATCAGTTTCAAAATTAAGAATGGGGGACTGAGGCCCCTTTGTTAGGCAGAGTGGCATGTGAGAGTTGGCAGTAATAGAAACTTTGTAAACTCCCGTCCGCAACCCCTGGCTACAAGTATTCAAACATTTGGGTTTGGGTTACGATTAATATCTGGGCAGATCTTTCCAGAAAATTCACTGAAAACACACTGTAAAATCCTCAGACTCATTCCGACCAACCAATTAACAGTTCAATTAACCAATCATCCCAAATTATACAAACTATTTCAGCTTGTCACAGCCAGAACTTCAACTTCTGGACTGAAGATGACTCCAGATCGTGAAAAACATGAAACATGTGCTCAGGTTTTACAAAAAAGAAAAACAAATTGTTCACTAGACATGCTTATTTTTTTTATAAAAACTCAAACTGACCGGTTCCTTTCACAGAAAAACACAGTGCATTTTGAATCAGCGTCTGAAAAAATATTGTGTCTCAAACAAAGATCCACCCCCTCTCCTAATACCAAATGGTAGCGTGGATAACTTACTTCCTACTGTGATTCTGACCTTCACAAGGGCATACTACTTCCCTATCTTCATGTCAGTTTCTGTGTTTACTTCATAACAGTTTCGATAGCGTTGAAGGAAATAATGGTATGAAGATATGGTATGAAAAACAGGAAACTTTATAGTCTCACAAAAATAAAGTTGATACATGAAGTTTCGTTTTACAGCATTATTTTATAATTTGCAAGGAAATCCCCACAATACGGAGCATCAAACGACACCTTTCATGTTATGTCATTGGTGCCTTACAGCACTACCTTCCAAACAATAGAACCGCTTATCACCGGGGCACCTGGGATTAGATAACCCATTGGTCGATAGAACAATGACACGCCATCACAGTACCAGATGGAGTGAGTGAGTGAGTTAAGTTTTGGTCACTGTGAGCAGTGTTCAAGTCATACCATGGAGTGGACACTAAGAAATAGTTTCATACACTGTACACATGTGGGGAAATAAACCCAGAGTTTTTGTGTGAATAGTGAACGCTTCCACCACTGGGCTACCACGTGGTTCTATGCTGAGTTTGTCTATCCGATGGCCATCTACTAGGGCTGGCACGAGTCCAAATTTACTACCCGGGTACCCACCCCCTATTACCCGACCCTCCCCGGGGACCCACTGTCGTCTCAAGGGATACAAAATGTCTGATTGGGAATTTTTTTTAACACAACACTTGCAGAACGTATTTAGATACACGTATTAAATGATCTGGTCATGCATACACTGAAGTAGAATTATCTTTATTCATATCTTTATTCAACCATATGAAAAGTCAGAAGGAATGGGTGCATAGTCAGAAAGAAATGCGAACATTAGTGACTTGTAGTGTAGAGTTCTAGATAATTTTAGTCATTAAACAATATATCACATGACAACCCCGGGTCCGGGTAGTCCTGTGGGTACCCGGGTCCAACTCAGTACCCACCTGACCCGGGTACCCGAGTAACCCGTCCAAGCCCAACCATCTACCTATGTACTATTCGTTCTAAATAATCATTGTGACTACCAGATCAACATTGGAGGCAATCTTATAGAGACCATTAAACTGGATCGGGTGGTCAGACTCACAGACTTGGTTCATGCATATCATCTTATCCCAATAGTGTAAATCAATGCTCATGAGGTGAATCATTGGATCGTCTGATCCAGATTTGATTATTTACAGCCCGCCAATACACAGCTGGAACGTTTCCAAGTGCCGCGTTAAACAACAAACAAAAAACTCAGCAGCCATTGAGACTAACACATCGCCATTCAGTCGGCTGTTACGACAAGAAACCATCTTACCCACAATCCCCCACTTGACCTTAAAAGAGGAAACCAAACATGGCGCTCGACTTTGATGTCATGGCAAAGATGGCAACATGTTTGTGAAGAAGTTTTTTGCACGTGGACAGCCTCTGCAACTATGTGTGTCAAGCCAAGTCAAACACATCACCTGCTACTGCGCCAACATCGACGTGGGTACGTGCAGTTTGTCACATCAACGCTGCAGTTTGCACAGGTAAACAGTGTTGCAGGTCACGGCATGACAGACATGGTCACAGAACAGCTGGACCCGCCAGCATTCAAGGTGATGTGCCACTCAACCAGGGTCAAGGTCAAAGAGAGACTGCCATGGACTGCCATTTGTGTTCAGTCCAATGGCTTTAATACTTCTGAAATGATTCTTGCACTCACAGCTGTATTTATAATTCTCACAAGCATAAGAGATTTATCTGGATCTGCCCAGAAGCAGATACACGGCCCCAAGTCTGCACCAATTGTCCATATAAATTCCCACATTGGAATTTCATTTTCCAGGTGTTGCTGTTACAGTTATAACTAATGTTATAGCTTGGTAGAGGAGACTTGTATTTCACTGGTAGCAGGAC